TGAGCTTCAAATAATACCTGAGAATTTTATGCATATGTACGTGTAATATATATATATAAAACATTTCTCTGGGCCAGCAAGATGGCCCAGACAGTAAAAGGGCTTACTGCCAAGCCTGAAGATCTGAGTTCAATCCCTGGAACCAACACAGGGAAGGAGAGAAGCGACTCCTACAAGTTGTTCTCTGACCTCCACACATGTGCTGTAGCACACACACACACACACACACACACACACACACACACACCCCACAAAGTAATAATAAATACAAAATTTTAAGGCAATGAAAGAATGCTAAAAAACAATGACTCAGAGTCTCATCTCTGTCTGCCAGTGCATTCTCTCAACAGCTATCACAGAAATGCAGTAAAGGAACAATACATCAAGCTGGAGCAGAGCCTAGATCAAAGTTTCTGTGCCTTGGCATTATGACACTGGAGCCAGAGAATTCTCTGTGGTTGGGATGTCTGTATGTAACAGGATCTTTGGCAGCATCCCTCACCTTTATTTACCAGATAGCAGCATCACCTGACCCACCCTCCATGTTGGGACAACCAAAAGCATCTCTAGACATTGTCAAATGTTTTCTGGAAGGCAAAGCTGCCCTGGTGCAGACCCAGGTCCCTTCCATTTAACCAGAAGATGCTGATGGTGATTGTTACCGCCCCTCAAAGCCTTGCTCTTTCCTCTTGCTATCAGATAGCTAAGCCCTGGAGTGGCCCCAGGTCAACCTTGTTCACATAGATATATCCTTTGAAACTAGTGCTTCTTTCTCTTTTTTTTCTACCTTTGTCCGTCTGTCCATCCCTGTCTCCCTCCTTTATTTCCTCCCCTCCCCCCCTTTTCTTGAACAGAGTCTCATGTAGCCCAGGTTGGCCTCAACTCACTATGTAGTTGAGAATGACCTTGAATTTCTGATGCTCCTGCCTATACTTTTCAAGTGCTGGAATTGCAGGCATGTACCTCACTTCTAGTTTTATGTGGTGCCAGGGAACTCAAACCCGGGGCTTTGTGCATGACAGGCAAGCACTCTACCAATTGAGCTACATCCCTAGCCTTGGTGCATCTTTCTCTACTGATTCTGATGTGCCCAAATAGGGAGAAAAGCAAGGCAGGAAGAAGGTGGATCAGTTGGTTCCTGGGGGACAGTGGGACCACACATCAGGTCTTCTGGATACCTAACTACCTCCCAGCATTTTATTAATTGATGGTTTGAAATAGGCTCTCACTAGGTAGCCCAAACTGGCCCGAAACTTGTGACCTTCCTCCTTTAGCCTCCCTGGTGCTGAGAATACAGGTGCCACCATATCCTGCTACTACTCTTCATTTTAGGGTTTGGAGAAAGGAGAGTTTCTGCCACAAATAGTGAAAATGTCTGAACAGGGCATCAACACAAGAAGGTATATTATTATTTTTAGTTAATCATTAGTTTTTATGTTTATGAGTGTTTTACCTGCATGTATGTAAGTGCATTTGTGCCTGCAATGCCTGGCAGAGGTCAGAAGTGTTGGATCCCCTGGGACTGGAGTTACTGATGGCTGTTAGCCACCACGTGGGTGCTAGAAATCGAACCCAGGTCCTCCACAAGAGAAGCCAGTGCACTTAACTGCTGATCCATCTTTCCAGTGCCAAGAAGGCATTATTTATCTACTGTGGTTCCACTGGAGCAGAATTACTCAGGAGATCATTGGATATTCATGTCAAAGCCCTACAGAAGTGCATGCAAGGACACAGAGGGCAGAGGGAAACAAAGCTTTTCCTTCCCATATCAGCACAAAATAAGAGCAAGAGAGTATGGACAGGTATAAGCCTGGCTTCTGGTGGGAAGGATCAAAGTGTCCCTCTGATGGAGAACTCATCTCCAAGATGAGCTCTCTGGCTTCTAGTTTGAAATTTCTTTTGTCTCTCCATTCAGTTTTAGGCAAAGTAACCCCTGGAGTGCTGAAATTCTCCCCGCCCCCCAAAGCCTTGAAACAGAATCAAATACGGTTGACAGGGAAGGTCAAGGTCAAGTTGACCTCAGTGTGGAGGAGGTCATTCCCCAGAAAGCTAACCAAAAGGAATTTTACCCATGGAAAAAAAATGGTCTAACTTGTATTTTTGATATCTCTTCTAAAAGTTTGCATGAGTGTTATGAATTAAATACATAATGTCCCCTATAGGCTCATTACACAAATGCTTGGTCCCCAGATAGTGATGTTTTTTTCTGGAAACAGGAGGTGAAGCTGAACTGGAGAATGCAGGTCACTTAGGGTAGGTGAAGCTGAACTATTAAGCGTAGTTCAGTTGGTAGGTCCTTCCTTGGGCATGGGGAGTTATTCCCTGGGGCCACTTCCTGTCTTACTCTGCCTCCCAGTTGCCCATGAAGTGAACAGCTCTACTTTGCCACACACTCCCATCACCATGGTGTTCTGCCCAGTGGATGGGGACAGCAACTGCCAACCGAACCCTCTGAAACCATAAACATGAGCAAAATCTTTCCTCCTTTTAAGTTGTTCTATCTGGTATGTTTTCACAGCAGCAGGAAGTTCCCTGGCACAGTGACTCTACCTGAGGGAAGCTGCCAGTGGGCACAGAAGTTTTTCTTACCTCCTCTGGACGGCTGATCTCGATTCCTTCTGGGCCTGTGATACCCAAATCTAGTGCCTCCTTAGCGCCCTGAATAACAGTAAGAGAAAGAAAACTGAATCATAGAGAGACAAGGAAATACCAAACAACCCACCCCAATCAGCTTGGTGTGTATCTGATTTCAGTAATATTCATTTTTTAAAGGATAAACCCAGGTCCTCATGCATTAATCTCTCCTGATTCTTACTTTTTAATAACAGGACAGTATCTTTTACTCTTAAAAATATAGTCCATATAAAAAAAAATACAGTCCAGTAACCAGTCCATGGCCTGTTACTTGGTATGAAAGTTGGAGTTGCCTCACTGGAAACTAAGAAATACTAGAGTAGCCTCGCCCTAACACCTAGGAGAGCCTAGAGGGTCACCCCTCTTTGTACCAGACAACAGGTCTCTATATCAGTTCTGATAAGGAGGTAAAGAAAGATGGAGAACTGATTATTCTATATGCTGTATCTCATTTAATATTTCTTTTTTATTTTATTTATTATGTGTATGCGTGTATTGCCTGCATGCAGGTGGGTACATCCGTCTTGTGCAATGCCCATGGAGGCCAGAAGAGGCTGTCAGATCCCCTGGGACTGGAGTTATGGACAGTTGTTAGCTGCCATGTGGGTTCTGGGTTTCGAACCCGGGTCTTCTGCAAGAACAACCAGTGTTCTTAACCACTGAGCCATCTCTCCAGCCCCTCATTTAATATTTCTAAGAGGACCTTTAAATAATTGTTATAGTGGAGGTTAAATAACATGGCATTCAAACTAAGATATCATCATCTAAGACTTAGAATCCTTTTGGATTGTACAGAGATATTTAAAAATACATATGTAGTAGAAATGTTTGGATTTTGGACCACGATTTGCTCCCCCGCCACCCCCCAGTGTTCACGTCTCATCCTATTTTATAACTTCATTTCTCTGAACCTTGCCAGGACTCAAGTGATTGGGGTCTCCCTGTAAACTGTCTCCATTTGTCCCACCCTCATCCACAACCTCTATTTCAGACTTGCCTCAGCCACGAGCTCCCCGTTTTCAGCATGGACCCGGGGGATCGCCCCAATGTCCTTGCAGGCATGAAACACTTGGTATAGCTCACTGTCTCGAAGCATGTACAAGTCCTTGTAGGTCATGAACATCTGGAATGAGTTGACCCCCTTCTCCCTCACTAGTGTCTCCATCTCTGCTTTCACCTGGAGAGCAAAATGCAAAGCCAAGCCAGTCAGACTAGTAGGTGCTGGTCCAGCAAGGAGATGTAGGGCCTCATCTGTATGACTTGTATGATCACCTGCTTCCTTGTCATGTCTCACTTTCCTTCGACCTCCCACATCCCCAGGCTGCTGTGAGGTCATCTGAGCAAAGAGATGCAGAAGTACTTTGAACCATGTCAAGCATAGCACAAGGATAGGAACGCTGGCTATAGATTATAGATGTTTTTCCTACCACATAGGCTTGTCCTGGGTTTCTGCCTCTAAACCCACCTTCTTGGTAAAGGTAGGCAGGCATAACAACTGCACTGCTATGGCCTGTCTTCAGCCTCCATAGTGGAAGTGGTGTTACCAAGAAGGCATGTCAAAACTCCAGAGATTGGGAACATTAATTTAGGAACATGGCAAAACCTGAATGAAGCTATGTGAAAAAGGATATTTATCCCAACGTTATTAACTTTAGAAGCAGTGCTGGTCTAACAGCAGGAAAACTACTTGAAGCTGTTCTACTGGTCAGAACATTAGGTGGCCATTATATTGAAGGTTATGAAGACTGCATAGCAAACAGAAAGTACTAATACTCAGGCCAAATGGCTCTCAAGCTGATACAAAAAGACTGGCAAGAAATGAGCTACAATAACAGGCATTGATTATGTGCTTTCTTTCTTTCCTATTTTTAAAATCTGTAATTAGTAAATGATATTATAATAAGGAATTTAAAATTTTAGAGGTATAAAAAAACTTCACTACTTCTGGCAAAACTCAGGGATGGCCTCAGTGTTGCTGGGCATCTGGGTGGATCCTCTATTCCAGGCCAACTCTGGGGAAGGGGGGTACAGAGAGGCTCTGGGGAGGGATCACTGCTCAGAAGGGAGACCTCCATCTGATTAAGGAATAGCTGATATTTAGCAGGGTCTGCATTGTTACTCAAGTACGGTGAGGGCCTTTGTGCATGAAGGGTTCAGAGTTCCAGTGTTTCCTGGAGAAGCCAGGTAAGTTCCAAGGCTGAAAGTAAAGTGAGGCTTTAAATTACTGTCTGGAAAGGGATCCAGGCTTCATAGACCAGGGTCCACAACTGCACAGATTAGTAAAATGTCTTGGTGTGTGCTATTTTTACAATTCTGAGGCATCTATCTCACTACTAGCACAGGAAGCTTAATAGTTGATGACGAATGGGTACCAGACTGCCTCCCTGAGTTGCAGCAGTGAACTCTGGGAAGGAAGGAAGAAGGAAGCAAAATCTAAATGGCTCTAGAGGAAAAGCAAGGAAATGGGAATTGTGGGAGAGGAAAGTGGGCTCTGCCCCAGTACCCTGGCCAGGAGAGGACAAGAAAGTCAAGGGCTATGGACACAGGCACAGCATGAGCTCAGTGGTCCAGCCAGTCATAGCCCAGGACAACCTCAGTTTCTCCCTGGGGATCTGGGCACAGTGGGCAAGAAGGTTCCCAGGGCCATTTGTATAAGGCAGTGCTGAGCTAGGACAAGATTAATTCTGGTTCAGAGACCTCAGTTCTGTGCTGTCAATTCCCAGCCAAACAGAACACGGCCCTGTGCCTGATTCCCTGCTTAAGTCACCACTCAGCAGCATTCCTCCTTAGGTGTTAGTGGTCCCTTGTGTACACATCAGAGCACATTGAGAGACTGCAGTCAGTGCAAGGAGCCAGTGTTCCTGAGTCTGGCCTGTGGCCTTGGGACTCTGTTGCAACTTGGTGTTTGCTGTGAATGTTAGAGGGCTGGCCTTTTAAGTTAAGCAAGACAGACCAACCCACTGTCCTCATGGATTTCTAAATGTTTTGGCAGGTGGGGGAGCTAAAGTGGTGGCAGGAGTGGCCACACAGGTAGAAAAGCACCAGGGCCAGCTGGCTTAGCCCATGCACCTTCTGTGTACCAAAACTCTTCTGGGGGACTCCATCAGTACTGTTACCTTGGGTGCCCACCAGGTGATCCCCACATGGAGGGAATAGTCACAGCAGACCTTGGGGTCAGCCAGACCCCGGCACTTCTCATAGGCTTCCACAAGGGAGGTCTCCTTATCAGGCAGAATGTGGCCGATGATCATGGTGGTGCCTCCAACAAGTGCTGCCTGAAGGAAGGAAGACAGAAAAAGCAGTCTTGTCACAGCTCTGCCTGCACCCATCTCTATCATGGTGAAATACTATGCTCAGGGTGCACTCAGGATGACCACTGAGACTGTGCTAAGACGCAGTCCTGAAGCATGGAATCCAGTGTACAACCTTTATCATCATTTTTGTCCACTTAATATAAACCCAGACATACATGGGAAGAGGGAGCCTCAATTGAAGAATTCTCTCCATCAAACTGGCCTATGGACATACTTCAGGGGATTTTCTTGACTGCTGGTTGATACAGGAGGGCCCAGCCCACTGTGGGCAGTACCATCTTTGGACAGGTGGGCCAGAAAGACAGCTGAGCAGGCCAGGGGAAGCAAATGAGTAAGCAGTATTCCTCCAAGGTCTCTGCTTCAGTTCCTGTCTCCAGGTTCCTGCCTTGAACTCCTGCCTTGGCTTCCCTCAATGATAGACTGTAACCTGCAAGCCAAATAAACACTTTCCTCGCTAAGTTGGTTTTGTTAGTGTTTTATCAGAGCAACAGGAAAGCAAACTAGGAAAAACCTTCTTCAGAACTGTGGGTCCAGCAAGCAAACCAGCTTCTTCCTTGTCTGGGGTTTTTAGCTTCGTTCCTTGGAAAAAACAGTGTGTTACCATGCTTAAGGCAGCCCCTACCTTCTCAATAAGACTTAACTCCAATATATAGATAACATAATCAAATACCCAAGTATAATATAAATGTGAAGCACAATCAAGTGTTCACATATAAAATTTACTAATCTAGTCATGCACATACATTCAAATCATAAAATGCTACAGTTGGGCAGCAATGTACACCTGGCATTTACATGGGTCTGTGGATCCAAACTCCACTCCTGAAACTTGTGTGGCAAGAACTTTAAAACACGGAACCATCGCCCCAACCCCTAGAAAAAAATATTTTGAAAGCTTTACTCACAGTCACAAAGTAAACACCCAGGAAAATTTACTAAGCCTCTATTAAGTTTCCCCACAACTTCAAAAAGAAAACTAATTTGGGTAAGTGACTTTTATGAACTTATAACACTAACATTACCCAAAGGATGTTTTAGGCGAGTATACTGTTCCCAAACAAAAGTTTACCATTAAAATTAAAATAACTGAGGGATGGTCTTGTAATACAAGTCTTTGTGAGGCTTTTAATGTAAGGTTTTGTTTTTGGTTTTTTCCCTCTCTCTGGTGAATAAAAGCTTGGGAAAGCATATGTTTCTATTAGAGTCCTTCCAGTGACTTGGATTGGCTATAGGTTGAAGTTCCTTCCCCACTACCTCCTAAGTGGGCCACAGCAGCGGACTCTACACCCGTACCCTGGGTTAGCTTCTTGGCCGGACAGTTGTGAAGAGTAAAGATAAATATCACTTACGGAATGGATCTGGTAATGTGTCCTAATACATGTATTTAATTATTCAAATTAGATTTTGTTTTCCATATGGGTGAAAATGCCTAAAGAATCTGTCTTCATGACTCTATGCTTCTCTGTTCAGCTAAATTCCCTGATCATGAGCCAGAGATATTGCTGGGGAACAAGGCATCAAGAAAACTAGTTCAGCAGTCAAACCACACTTCAAATGAAAAATCCCAGAGCCTCAGTTTTCCATGCTGGGGCCTCAGTGGGCTGACTTCTTGCATAGCTTAAAACAGCCAACAGAGGGTGGTAGTTCTGTACAGTACATGTAGGAAAGGGAGGGACGGAGAGAAGAGGAAGCACAGATTGTAGTGTACTAGCTGGCAGCTATTCCTGCTGCTACTGGACCCTGGCAGGCTGATTCATCCTCACAGCAGGTGGTTGGTCTCTATTTTGTCCTGCCAGCATTTCTTGCCTGAACACGTGCACACGGGAGTCTGAGAAACTAGGATTTTACACACTAAATTGTTTTATCCTTCTTTGGTTCTAGATTGCTTTCCTTTTACTCCTCAGCATACTACAGCCTTCAATAGGAAGAAAAGGGAACCTGTGAATAGCAGAGTGTCATAAAAGAGCCAGGACCGTTCTTACTACCCCAGGACCCCAAGGCAAGGGTAGAAAAGGTGGTTCATGGGCCAAATCTCCAAATATGTAAAAGTCTAGATCAAGCTACTCTGACAAATATGTTCTTAAAATGATCAAGGGGTCAGGCTTGATTTGTAGAGTGTGCAGGGAAGGTCCCTGAGATCCAACTATATTGTAGAGAAAGTTGGCCTCCTCTGGTGCCTGTCCCACGTCATGCCTTTCCCTTTGGATTCATGCTGAGCTCACAGATCTAACCCTTGTCCACCCCTGCAAAATGCTACCCTTGGACCTAAGGTGCACAAACTCATGGTCTGACCCCCTGGTGGACAGGTTCAGGCTTGTGTGAGTTCCAGCACTTTGTCAGGAAATTCTGGGGGTCAACAGTAGTCTAGGAGTGAGTTAGGAGACTCTGGGCAGACCCAGTCTCTGACTCCTGTGGGAAAGAGGTTCAAGCTGTCAGAGGGCCCAAGCAGTGTGCTCTGGAGTCCAAAGACAAGAACTGAAAAGAGTTCTGTAAAGTGTGTGGAGCAGTAGGCAGTGGTATTGACTTCCACACTTACTGGCTACAATTCAAAGCAGCCACAGCCCCCTCTGTACCTCAGCTCCCAGTGGTGCAGGGAAGTCAGGGGGCAGCAGTTGTAAGAGGCTTTGAAGGGGCATATGTGTATCTGGAAGAATTGTTGCTATTACTATTACTACTGTTACTCTAGGTCTCCAAACCAAGGTTCACAGCTCAGCACCCCAGGTGTGGGCTCTGGGCCCAGCTGACATGGATGTATGAGTACTCCTCAGGGTGGACAGACACAGAACTGGCCTTTTAAATATGTGCAGTTTTGATCCCCTGATGAATGCCTTGAGCTCAGTATTCACAGGAACACGGTATCACAGGTATGACAGATCATTTTACCATCACCCCACAGAATGGCCTTGCAGAGATCATCAGTAGAGCAAGGCACTGTCCTGTTCTGACACTTTCAGAAGGATTGTGTTTAAGGATATGCGACTGTGTGCCTGCCACATGTCATGACTGTTCACACAAAACCGTGAGCTGTGGAAGATCTTTAACAGATGATTCTCATGAGAGCTAAGTCATAACACGGAAAGGCTTATGCTATAATGCGGGAAGAAGGCAAATTCAGTATGTGTACAGAAGATGCTTAGAGCTAGAAATCTTGGAGGAAGAATACCAAAATATTAACGATGGCTCTTTGTGGTGATGGATCCTTAGTTATTTATTTGTTCTGCTTTGTAAATTTTTATTAAATAGTATATACCATTTCTATAATATACATTAAAAACAATGTTACCTTTATATTTGTAATATACACTATACAAATAAACAAATATATATACAATATATACTATACAAAAATACAAAGAAGCTTAATTTAGTAAGTCAATACTTACACGTTTAAAATATGTTACACAAGCTGGGCATGGTGATTCAGGCCTTTAATTCCAGCACTCAGGAGGTAGAGGCTGGCAGAAGGCTACAGAGCAAGGCCCTTTCTTAACTCTCCTCACCAAAAAAAGCAGAAGAGGGGGGCTAGAAAGCTGGCTCAGCAGGTAATAGCACTGACTGCTCTTGCAGAAGACTCGGGTTCAATTCCCAGCACCCACATGGCTGCTAACAACTGTCTATAACTCCAGTTTCAGGGGATCCAACGTCTTCTGGCCTCCATGGGCACTGACACATGGGTACACTTACATACATGCAGGCAAAACACTCACACACTCATACACATAAAAAAACTAAAAATAAAAAATATGGGCAAGTATGGTGGTAAAGGAGTGTAATTCCAGCCCTCAGGAGGCAGAGGCAGGCGGATCTCTGTGAGTTCAAGGCTAGCCTGGTCTACATAGTGAGTTCCAGGCCAGCTGGGGCTACAGAGAGACCCTGTCTCAAAGAGACTAAAAAAATAAAACAATATTGCAGCTATGAAATATTTTCGATATAAAACACAGAAAATAATAAAACACATCCATGTACCCACTATTAAAATTTAATAAATATCAATTCCTTTATCATATTTGCTTCACATGCTTTAAATATTACTATTAAAAATTAAGTTTTTGATCTAAGAGATTGAACTCAGGGCCTCACATCCTAAACATGTGCTCTACCAGTAAGCTACATCCCCAGATAAAATTTTTTTCTTTTTGTTAATATGTGTAGTGTGCATGCATGTGTGCATGTGTGTTTGGAGATGTGTGTGTGGGTGCATGTGGAGGCCAAAGGTTGATGTCAAGTGTCGTCCTCAGTCTCTCTTCACTTTATTCACAGAGGCAGGGTCTCTCACTGAACCTGGTACTCTCGGATTTGGCCAGTCTAGCTAGTCAGCTTGTTCAGGGGACCTACCTCCCTGTCCCAAGCAGGTGCTGGAATTACATGCGAGTTGCCACACCCAACCAACTTTAAAAAAATATTTTATTACTTTTATTTTATGCGTATGAGTGTACTGTCTGCATGTATGCAAGTACACCCATGTTGTGCATCAGCCTCACAGGTCAGAAGAGGGTGTCAGATTCCCTGGAACTGGAGTTATAAATGGTTGTTAGCTGCCATATGGGTGCTGGGAATCGAAACCAGGTCCCCTGCAAGAGCAGTCAGTGCTCTTACCTGCTGGGCTATCTCTTTAGCCCCTGACCAACTTTTTAAGTGGGTTCTGAGAATACAAACTCAAGTCCTCACACTTAAGATGGTAAGGATCCATGAACCATCTCCCTATATATATATTTTTTTTTCTGAGAGATATTTTTAAAAGGATAAAAATGATTCTGATACACTTGGCACCCTCCACATGCTATTCCCACCCCATCTTCTCTGATGTTGACATATTCTCTGTTTTGAAGCTTTTATTAGGATAATCTTGTGAATTCAGAAGATGTACATAATGCTATAAAATTGTCTCTATCCTTTGGCAACTTCCTTTTCATGGGCATTCACTGCTTTACCTGATGCTTGAACATTCTTGTACACATTTG